TCTCCTGGCGATGTGCTGAACCGTTCAGAAAGTCGGGAGCTAATTTAGCCGCTTTTCATGTATGTTCCTGAGTTAACTGTGGCCACCTTTGAGACAAGTAAAAGTTCCCACAAGATAACCAGTGAGGTGAAAAAAGGCTTGAATGTCGGACACACGGGGCATGTTTGCTTACTGTAAAGTGAAGGAATCAATACAGTGGCATGGCTCCTGCCTGGAACCGATTCAAGCACCAATGGCTCCTTCTCTCATTCCCATACTGCTTTTCTTTCCTTCCTTCCTTCCTTCCTTCCTTTCTTTCTTTCTTTCTTTCTTTCTTTCTTTTTTTTTTTTTTTTTTTTTTTTTTGACAGGCAGAGAGAGACAGAAAAAGGTCTTCCTTCCATTAGTTCACCCCTCAAATGGCTGCTAGGGCTGGCATGCTGCGCTGATCCGAAGCCAGGAGCCAGGTGCTTCTCCTGGTCTCCCGCATGGGTGCAGGGCCCAAGGACCTGGGCTATCCTCCACTGCCTTTCCAGTCCAGCAGAGAGCTGGACTGGAAGAGGAGCAACCGGGACTAGAACCCAGGGTGCCGGCACCGCAGGCAGAGGATTAGCCAAGTGAGCCGCGGCGCCAGCCCATACTGCTTTTCTTACGTAAGTCACCCTTGACAGTCTGCGTGCTTTACTCGGGAGACTCTAAGCTTGAAGGCAGGGACCACTTACCCCAGCACTCAACCCCGTGCTTTTAAAAAATATTAATAGGATGGGGCCAGCGCAGTGGGGTAGTAGGGTAAGCCTCTGCCTCCAGGGACAGTATCTCATATGGGCACCAGTTCATGTCCAGCTGCTCCTCTTCTGATCCAGCTCTCTGCTATGGCCTGGGAAAGCAGTGGAAGATGGCCCAAGTGCTTGAGCCCCTGCACCCCAGTGGGAGACCTGGAAGAGGCTCCTAGCTCCTGGCTTTGGATCAGCCCAGCTCCTCCACCATTGTGATCATTGGGGAGTGACCTTGTGGATGGAAGACCTCTCTGTCTTCTCTCCCTCTATCTTAACTCTGCCTCTCAAATAATAAATCTTAAAAAAAAAAATATGTTAACAGAGGCATGCGTTTGTTGCAGCAAGTTAAGCCACAGCTGGAGATGCCCGCATCCCACATGGAACTTGAGTTTGAGTCCCAGCTGCACTTATGATTCCAGTTTTCTGCTAACACAGACCATGGGAAGCAGCAGGTGATGGCTCGAGGAGGTGGTTCCCTACCACCTACACAGGAGACCCGGATGGAGTTCCAGGCTCCTGGCTTCAGCCTGGTCCAGCCTGGCTGTTGGCAGTCCATCTGGGGAGCAAACCAGTGGCTGGAAGACCTGTGTCTGTCTGTGTTTCTCTCTATGCCTGTGCCTTTCAAATAAATGAAAGTAACTATATTTTAATAAAATCTTAATAAAAGGATGGCAAGTGACAGTGAGAGTTGGAATCTGGTCTAACAGGGACAGAGCGCATTGGCAGAGAACCTTCTGGTGAGCCAAGCTCTTTTACTTGACTTGTCCATCTCAGGACCTTCTTGGCTATTGCGAACACATCTGACCCATGGAGACACTGGGGCGCAGAAGCTTAACAAATAAATACTTAGGTATAGTTGCTAAGTGACTTCTCAGGAATCATTATTAAATGTGACATATCTATAGTCCTGGAATTTTGGTGAGACTGTCTTTTGCTCAAAATAAGGCAGTGCATTGCCTGAAAAGCCGTGTGGCAACCAGACACAGCCATCTTCAAACGGTGCGCGGTGTGCACCTGTAGGGCATTCATCCCCAGGCGCTGGGTTCGAAGTGCCTGTTTAGAAAGAGACTATTTCCTGGTGAGGGACAAATATTTTCCCCACTGGTCTGTCTCCAAATGCTATCATTGAGCGCCACCAGCTGGAGATGCGAGCAGCCCTGGGGTTCTTCGCAATGGGCGTGTGAGCCTCTGGCCACCCCAGCTCTCCCTCCTGGGGAAGCTGAGACCGCAGTTCCAGAGGTGTCTTCAGCAAGTGGACTTGAGGCGGGCGGTCTGGTTGCAAGCCCTGGCGCCAACTCTCACCTCACTGGGCCTCAGTTTCTGCCTTGGAGGATAACTGCAACCCCATGTGGTCACTGCGGGCATTAACCGGGTTACAGCAGATGTACCCAGCACATCCTAAGGCACCAGCTCTGTTCATTCCGAGAGGCTCGCTGTCTAGCTGGAGGAGGACAGCTGGGGTTCCACGCTCTAGCACTCCTGTGTTACCACTGCTCCTTCCGAAGAACAGAGTGTTGTTCTCACCATGTTACCCATGCGCCTGAGAGGCCGCCGTTGCTCTGAGGTCTGCACAGCCCGTCCTCACTGGTCAGGCCGGGGAAGCTGCCTGCACCTTGGACTGCTGCTCGCCAAGCGTCTCGTCCGGCAGCGGTGACAGTGAGTCAGAACAACCACGCTGGCGCCTGGCCAGGCGCTCACACAGCAGCCCACTGTCGTGCCAGGAACAGACAGAGGGCAAGTTCCGCGGCTTCCACTTTTCTACGTCACTGCTATCTCGGCACACACGCTGGCAGGGCACAAAGTGTACAAAGCAGTAGCACGACCCGCACGGCATCACCAGGGCTATCAAGTGAAGGTCAGGAGTCTCCACCTAAGTGTCTAAAAATACAAGCAATAGACCAGAGCCACAGCCCAAACAGCCTGTCTTTGCCAGGGAGCAGTCACAGACTAGACAGGGATGCACAAGGATTCCCCAGACAAGGCACAGCAATGCCTTCAGGCATGACAGTGGCTTAGAAAATGTCTCCGAGGGGGTGCTGGTGCTGTGGCATAGGGAGTAAAGCCGCAGCCTGCGACACTGGCATACCACATGGGCGCTAGTTCGAGTCCTGGCTGCTCTACTACCCATTCAGCTCTCTGCTATGGCCTGGGAAAGCAGTGTTTTAAAAGATGGTTCAAGTGCTTGGGTTCCTGCACCTGCAGGGGAGACCCAAAAGAAGCTCCTGGCTCCTGGCTTCAGCCTGACCCAGCCCTGGCTATTGCAACCATCTGGGTAGTGAACCAGCAGATGGAAGACCTCTCTCTGTCTCTCTGTTTCTCCCTCTGTAACTCTTTCAAATAAACAAATATTTTTTTAAAGGAACGTCCTCATTTCAAAAAGAAAAAAGAAACAGCAGCCGTCCCATCCCTAATATTTCTGGTATACTCAAAAGCCCTCGTCACATCATGAATGGGAAGAGGAGAGTGAGGACTGTTCCGCTGACACTGCGGAGTTCTCTGAGGGTCACAGTCCACTCCCCACGGCCCAGAAGCTGAGTCTGGCCACCACCTGTCTTCGTGCTGCTTGTGAGCCAAGAAAGACGTTCCCATTTTGTGATGTTGGGAAAAAAATGAAAACAAATCGAAACTTAAGAACAGTGCTATTTGTGACATGTGAAAAGGATAGGAGATTCCAATTTCCGTATCTATAAATGAAGTTTACATATTGTGTTGTCTACGACTGCCTTCACCCACAATGCAGAGCTAGGGGGCGCCCCCCCACCCCGCCATGTGGCTCAGAAAGCCTGCAATGCTCATGAGCTGGCTCTCCCCAGAGTTTGCCAAGCCCTGCTCTGGATTCTGTGACAATGCAAACTGTACGTTCAGTTTGTAAAAGCATCCTGAGATTGACGGAAGATTTTCAGTTACTCCAAATGGGGGAAAATAATTTCTGTGCACAAATTTCTAGAACCTTACATGAATAACTAAGACCCATGTAAGAAGAGACATGTTTTTAAAAAGCAAAGGTAAAATGGTAGATGGTGTTGAGTTTTTTTTTTTTTTTAAGATTTATTTATTTATTTGAAAGTTACACAGAGAGGAGGAGAGGCAGACAGAGAGAGAGAGGTCTTCCATCCCCTGGTTCACTCCCCAACTGGCTGCAACAACTGGAGCTGCACTGATCTGAAGCCAGGAGCCAGGAGCCTCCTCCGGGTCTCCCATGCAGGTGCAGGAGTCCAAGGACTTGGGCCATCTTCTACTGCTTTCCCAGGCCATAGCAGAGAGCTGGATTGGAAATGGAGCAGCCGGGTCTTGAACCAGTGCCCATATGGGATGCCGGTGCTTCAGGCCAAGGCATTAACCTGCTGTGCCACAGCACCAGCCCCGGTGTTGAGTTCCTAAGCCAGCACCTCACTGAGAACTGGCAGATGATGGCCCAGCTAAAAGGTTGCACCCACACATAAGACCTGGATGGAGTTCCTGGTTCCAGGTTTTGACCTGGCCCACGCTCAGCTGCTGTGGGCACTTGGGGAGCAAATCAGCAAATGGAAGATGTTTTTTTCTTCCTGTTACTCTGCCTTTCAAATAAATAAATCTTACAAAAAAAAAGAAAAGAAAAGAAAAGAAAAGAAAAGAAAAGAAAAGAAAAGGAAAGAAAGAAAGAAAAGAAACAGGTTTGAATTAAGAGAAACCACAGAGGTAGAAAACGTAGTACAAGTCCCCACGGGTAAATATGTTTTTTTTTTTCTCAAGGGCACCTTGAGGAAAAAAAAATTGAGAGAGCAAAGAGAAAGGGTGGGAGAGGCTGAAATGGGAAAAGCAGCATGGAGTTACAGGCTGTCCTGTCCCTCACTCAGACAAGAGCCGGGAGGCGTGGCCCTTGCCTGCTGGGCACAAACAATGCTCCTTATTTAGTGGAGAGTGAATGGGGCTGGGTGGGCAGCTAGCTCACTCTGAGCCACACGCGGGTGTAGGGCTCACAGACTCAGGAGCACAGCTGGCACCACCCTTGGTCTGGCAAAGCCGGAGCTGTCCAGCCTACTCCTCTTGCACGCGGTGTGGGGCAACCCCGCCACCCTCTGCGCTCATGCGGCACACAGCTGCTCTCCTCTGGCGGGGACACGCCTGAAGGCGGCGGGCAGGACGAAGGCTACGAGAGAACCTAGACACAAAATGTAGCCTCTTTATAAAAGGGAGCACTTCAAGAACCAGGAAATGTCCAGAAAACTTCAGATGATTGCAAAATTTCTTTTTTTTTTTTTCCCAGAAAACTCATGCAATAGATGATGCCATTAAAAACGAAGGGACATGGAGTACAGATGCATAAAGCCAACAGCCTGTTGAACAGGAGTCCAAGAACATGAGGACGCCAAAAATAATCCAAGGAGTGGCACAAACTTCTCCCACGCTGAAGAATGGTCTTCAAACACACAGGCGCGCCACGGCTGGCCGAGAGGCTCATCCTCACAGAACCTCTAACACCAACGGTAAGAAAATCTTCTGGGGCCAGCACTGCGGTGTGGCCTGGTGGGTAAAGCAGCCACCTGCTGTGCCCGCATCCCATATGGACACAAGTTCGAGTCCCGGCTGCTCCACTTCCGATCCAGCTCCCTGCTAATGGTCTGGGAAAGCAGTAGAAGATGGCCTGAGTATTTGGGCCCCTGCACCCACATGGGAGACCCAGATGAAGCACGTGGCTCCTGGCTCTGGCCTGGCCCAGCCCTGGCCATTGCTGTTACTGGAGAGTGAAGGAGTGGATGGAAGAACTCTTTCTCTCCCCCTCTCCCTCTACAATCGATTTTCAAATAAATCTTACAAAAAAAAAATCTAAGCCTCTAGTGACAATCACTATTTACAATGATAGATCTTTTCACTTTGAAAAAGATTTTATTTCCTGAAAAGCAGAGTGACAAAGAGAGGGTGGGACAGAGAGCTGGTCCCTCTACTGGTTCACTCCTCAAAATGGCTGCAACAGCCAGAGCTGGGCCAGACAAAGCCAGGAGCTCCATCTGTGTCTCCCACAAGGGTGGCAGCAATCCAAGTACTTGAGTCGTCATCTGCTGCCCCCCAGGCTCATCAGCAGGAAGCTGGCTAAGTGCACAGCAGCCGGAACTCCAACGGGCACCCTGATCTGGGATGTGGGCGTTCCCAGCAGCAGCTCAATACTCACCCAGCAAATGATCTTTATCGTGGGCATGTGTCACCTCTGTGATTATTTAAAATCTAACTAGAAACAGCAAGTCACAAAAGTTGTTTGCAGCACATGATTCAGAATTATCTCCCAATAAGACCTCTGGAAGAGCAATTTCAGAAATAACGTCCCAAGGGATGGATCTGACCTAAAGATGTCTGCTCAACGACAGCTAACATTCGGGATAGCTAAGACACAAAAAAAGGAAACAGAAAATACCGTATCCAGGGTATGAGCAACACCCGTCCTGCACTGGACAGGGGCTGAGTCGTCGCAAACAGCCCCACACGTACTGGAAGCTCAAGTTGGAGGGATGGAGGGGAGAGGAAGGCAGCAGCAGAGGCGGCCCCAGGAACCTGCAGAGATTCTGCGCAACCATCCCTCTGTGATTCTGGCTGCCTTCTCACTTTAAAAGCACTTTACTCTTTTCTGAAGATGGAATAAAAGTAGCTTTCTGCATGCTCCACATTCCATCGGCAGTCTCTCACTCTCGGAGGTGCAAGAACAGACACATCAGGATGACACGCAAGGCAGGCTTCCGGCCCCGTGTTGTCGGTAAGCAGCTGTCACGCATGCTCTATGTCACACAGATACCAACATTCAGAAGCCCTCGGGGTGGGGGGGCAGGCATTTGGGGAAAAAAAAAAATGTGTAGGGGCACTCGAATCCGATGGCCTCATCTTCCTTAGCTTCTCTCCCCTGGCCCTTGTGCCCACACCCCCCGCCTCCAGAAGCTATGGTAACTGCACACGCCAAGCGTTGTGTTCCCACGGCTAAGGCTTTCCCCTGTGGTCTTCTACGGCAGGAACACTGATCTCCCCGGATCCACCAAGAGCGATAAATTCAAAATATCTCACCTGCTTTCCAGGAAAGTCCACATGGGTTTCCTGTAAGCCCAGACACCTGTGCCTAACCCGCCTACAAATTTCTAACTGCATAAAGAAGTAAAGTAACCACCAGATAAGTGGCCATCAAGGCTGTGTGACTTCTGATTTGTCAGGGATGACTCCCAGTAGCAGAGATGCTGGGAGTCTCGCTCCTACTCCTCCTCCCAAGAAACCAGAAGACAACCACCCCACTTCTTTCAGGAGACATCAGAAATAGCTGTTATTAACACAGGCACCTGTACAACTGCATAGATACGCTTCCACTGCAGTGTAAATCTCAAGGAATTTGCATACATACCCCAATTCCTCCCTTTCTTCTTTCAAAAAGACTTATTTATTTGAGAGGCAGAGAGTTCACTCCTTAAATGGCTGATCCAAAGCCAGGAGCTAGGAGCCTCCTCTGGGCTTCCCACCTGTGCCAGGGGCCCAAGCATTTGGGCCATGCTCAGGTGCACTAGCAGGGAGCTGGATCGGAAGTGCAGCAGCTGGGACTTGAACTGGCACCCATATGGGATGCTGGCACCACAGGCAGAGGCTTAACCTACTATGCCACAGTGTGGGCCCCATCCCCTTTCTTAAAACCTGCTTTGGTTCTCTGGCCATTGCAGCCATCTCGGGAGTGAATCAGCAGATGGAAGACCTCTCTCTCTGCCTCTCTGTAACTCTGCCTTTCAAAAAAAAAAAAACCCTGCTTTGGAGGGCAGGCACTATGGTGGCCAGGTCACCACAAGGGATGCCCACATTCCATACTAGAGTGCCTGGGTTCGAGTACCAGCTTCGCTTCCAATCCAGCTTCTTGCTAACATGCAACACTGGAAGGCAGCAGGTGATGGCTCGAATATTTGGGTCCCTGCTGTCCATGTGGGAGACCTGGATGGAGTTCTAGGCTCCTGATTTTGGCCTGGCCCAGTGAGCTTTCACAGGCATTGGGTGAAGTAATAGATGGAAGATTTCTTTGTTGCTCTACCTCCCAAATAAATAAAAAAGGCTTGAAAAAAAGAAAACACCCTGCTGTTGTTGGGGTGAACGGTCCTGTTCAGGGGTCTCTTGACTGTCTGAGGTCTCAAGTTCAAAGATCTTAACCCTTTTCCTGAATCCTCTCCAGGGTCTCTTCCACTTTCCAGCAGTAAGTACCATTGGAAAGGAAGGGCAGAGCTCATAAAATGTTCTTCAAAGTTTCTGGAAACAGTCACCCAGGCCTCCAGTTAAACATACAGCTTACCAGGCATCTCCTCAGGAAACTGACTCAAGTACACAGATGAAGAACCAGACATCTGGGTTTTGACAAGCGGCCCCGATAATTCTGGAAAGTTCTTTCCCAAAGCTGTTTGTCACTGCTCCCACACCTGCCACCTTCTTCCAGGCATGGGGCAATCTTCTCTCCCAACCCTCCACCCACCCTGCTCCCTTCCACCCCAGCAGCCTCCTTTCACCCATTCAAAGTTCTTTCCTGACAAATCCAACCACACAGATTTCTCCTCTCAATTCCTGCTGCAATTAGTCATGAGGCACAATGGAATAATTGCCTTGTTAAATGTACTGTTAATAAAGCTAGTGGGTAAGTCGTTATCCATTTGGTAAATTGCTATCAATTTATTCCATTTTTTTGTTCCTAGAGCCAGCCAGCAAGGCTAAACAATTTGCAGAAGATCACGGGGAAAGCGGTTGAATCCTATTCTGCAGCCACGGTTAGGAACTCAAAAGCTCCCAAGAGCTCACTGTATCTGAACTCCTCCCGCCGAGCACTACAGGAAAATACCTTCGTTCTCCCACAAGGAAAGCCATTTATGCTGTAGACACTTCTTGATAATTACAGGCTTTTCCATTTCTTTTCTCTCATGAGCAGCTTGCTCACTGAGTTAAGGGACCTACTAAATAAAGCAGCCTCTTCAAATAAGCTGGTATTTGCCTTTGAAAATGTACCCAGAAACAAGCAACATGTTCTGGGGGTGGAGAACGGAGAGTTAGCCGGCTCTTCAGTGTCTGAGGGTGGAGGGCAGAGGAGGGCAGTGCTCCTAAGACTGCGGGGACCCGCCAAGTGCACTTCCTCCAGTGCGGTGACCGGTGACCATGGCAGCTGCTGTCCCTGCTGGAGAAGAGCAAGCAAGCCACTGCGGATCGCCACCATGCACCCTGCAGATTCTGACAGAGAATGTGATAAACCCAAGGGCTGTGCCCATCTCTCCAGTATTGCCCAACAACAGTCAGGGGGCTTCCGTTAGGAAGGACTGAGAATCAAATGGGCCAAGGGTGGGGAGCCACTCCCCGCCCTCCCCAAACTCTCTGGAGGGTAGAGTAGCTTTTAGCCTCTGCAAGGCCAGATGTCCAAACGCTGGGTATGCTGTTTCCTGACTATTTTGCTCAGTAATGTGGAATCTGGGGCCTTCTCCTAATGAGTCTGATTTGATGGGTTTATAATGGGTTCCAAGAATCCGCGTTTTTAAAAAGCACCTCAAGCTGGTTCTGAGGCTCTCTGGGAAACACTATCCATTTTGCAAAATATCTCTATCCTGGCCCTTCCGCATCCACGCCTCACGCCTTTCCCCATTTTCTCTAGATTTCCCCCAACAAAATACTATTCCTCTCTTCGGATCCTAGCCAGGCTTCAGGGCACACACAAACGCCAGTCACCTCTTGAAGCCTGAAAGGTCACCACTGCTGGAGGGAATTCCCCCACTCCTGCACTCTTGTGCCACTTGCAAACCAAGTGAAAGGCGCTCAGTTCATTGCACAGCCCTTTCTTCGGGCAAATCTCACCCCTCACCAGGCAGCACATTTCCTGGAGGACAGTCTAGGGCTCACAGTCCTTGACCTCCTATGATAAGCACCTCGTATGTGAGAGATGCTCCGTAAGGCCCTTCTTGAATGAGCAAGCAATGAATGAACGCACAGGTTTCTTCCTAATAGCTTCAGCTAAAACTGCATGCAAAAGGAAAACTGCCTAGACTTTTTGTAGTGATTGTCTACGTAGTTTAAGTACCATAAAATTCTTTGAACTAGCTTGAGGACTTTTTAAAGTTCATTGGGGGGATCCCCTAATGCTGTGGTACAGTAGGCTAAGCCACAGCCTGCGGCATCCCATCTGGGCACCGGTTTATGTCCCAACCGCTCCTCTTCCAGTCCAGCTCTCTGCTTATGGCCTGGGAAAGCAGTGGAAGATGTCCCAAGGGCTTGGGCCCCTGCACCTGTGTGGGAGACCCAGCAGAAGCTCCTGGCTTTTGATCGCCTCAGTTCCGGCCAATGCAGCCATCTAGGAAGTGAACCAGTGGACGGAAGACCTTTTTCTCAGTCTTTCTCTGTCACTCTGCCTCTCACATAAATAAAGAAAAATAAGTTCATTGGCAGTGGGCACTGTGGAGCAGGGGGCTAGGCTGCCCCTTGGGAAGCATGTATCCCGAATCAGAGTGCCTGGTTTCAGTCCTGGCTACTCCACTTCTGATCCAGTTTCCTACTAGTGTGCACCCTGGGAGGCAGTGATGGCTCAAGTACTTGTCACCCACGTGGGAGACCGGGATGAAGTTTCCGCCTCCTGGTTTCAGCCTGGCCCAGTCCTGGCTATCACAGTCACAGAGAGGCCGTGAACCTCTCTGTCTTTCAAGCAGATCAAAGGAAATTTTAATAAATAGTAATAATTAGAACACTTTCCTGCGTCAAAGGCCTAACATTCCAATTGCTCTGTGTGAAGCTGTTGAGTCCTCACTTAATAACGCTGCCTGTATGTCTACTACCCTACCTGTATTCCCAAGAAGTACTTCTCTGACCATAACTCGGAGGGAATTTAACGTGGGAGCTGCTGCAGGACCTGCCAGCTGGCTTTCTTCTACTCTTCCCACCTCAAAAACTTAACTGTGTTCCTCTTGAAAGTGTTCAGCAAGAAAAAAATTAGGTGGTACCGATTCTAACAGGTATTTCACAACATGCCAAATTCCTATAGAACTGGGGGGAGGGTTTGATGTAACTACCTAGGCGAATTTCACTCCTTCTGAAAAACCTGCATAGAGTTTTGAGTCTCAAGTAACCAGTTTAACACTCTCATCTTCTTCAAGGTATATTCCAGCAATATCCACCAATAACATGATTAAAGTCTTGGCTTCAATCACATTTCAGATGATCACTTTTGTTAATTAAAGAAAACCACAGTGAACCTGTTCTTTTCAATGTTCATTTTCTACCTAATTCAAAATTTTCCTAGAAAATATGCAGTGATTGACAATCTAGATTGGTAATATGAATGTCTTCAATAGCAATAACCTGAATACACCTTTTAAAAATGCACCTTTTAAAAAAAAGTGCTCTGAAGTAATTGCCAGTTTGGAAAGAGAAACTGTTATTTTTCAATTTTAAAGGTATAATGAATTGTGAATGTAATCTGTGACCACCGTTATTCATGTCTCCAGGGGCAGAGGTGGCAGAAAAAGGGAGACCTGAAGGATAGATTTAAGATGGTAAAATTGGCTCTTGGTGAATGCAAGGCCTCACTTAAGGGAGTTTAAACCCTGGAATACAAAGCTCCAAAAGAACCCCAAATCAATGTAAAGCCAATCCATGTGTTATCAATAGGACTTGAGAAATTTTCAGAACATTCAGGCCATGTAGCCATATGATCAAATAAGTGTCCTGAATGGTTATTTTTTGCATGAAAATTTCCACAAACAGCACGATTTTTAAAAAATGGAACCAACAGAAATAATTTTACGGTTTCGGCATCGGGGAAATTTAAGGTAGGTTACGAGTGAGAGATACTGAAGTATAGGATGTATGCAAGAGACCAGCGGGGGCCTGCAATGTTCTTTCTTAACAATTCGTGATGCGAGTCCTGGCAAGCTAGGGCAAAGGGAAGGAGGAAAAGGGAGCAGAAACAGCTGCTATGATGGACTAGCAGCCAAGCCCGAGGCCCACGACCCGACGAGCCTGCAGCTCCCCATTCATTCCCGGCGGCTGCTCCGCGCCCGCAGCCGCCGTGCACTCACCTGCTCGGGAACACGACCTCGCAGCGCCCGAGGCCGCCGAGGCCGCCGCCAGGAGCCGGGGGACAGCCGCCGGCGGGGGCGAGGGGCGACGCAGCCCGGGGACGGGCAGGCGGCGCAGGCCGGGGGCTTCCCTCTGCAGCAGGGCGGAGCAGAGCCGCCGCGGGCTCTGAAACATGCCGGGCAGCACCGCCACAACCGCCGCGGCCCCTCGCGCGCCGAGGAGCGGAGCCTGGCAGGGGCCGAGGCCGGAGAGTCAATCACACTGTCGGGGCCGTCCGCACGGGTGCTCTCTGGATGCTTCCCACCAAGCCTCAGGCCCAGGAGAAAGTCCTGAGCGGCAGAGCGAGAGGCAGAAGCAGCAGCGGCGGCGGCGGCACAGTCTGCCGCGGGCCGGCGAGAGCTGGAAGGCAACCGGCGAGCGCAGGGCGCTGACAAAGCGGGCGCTACCAACTGGAGCTGCGCGTGGAGGGGGGACCACAGGACCCGACCCTCGGCTCCAACGGGCTGCGTTCCGACACCCGGACCGCTACTGCTCTACAAGGACTGGAGACTTCTACTGTTTTCTAGGATGGAAGCTTTAGGAGGTCGAAAGTGACTGGTATCCGTTGGAGCGCTGTTAAATAAATAAGCGTCCCCTCTCGCTGGCTGGAATGGAAGCGCCCAGAGGCTGGGAATCCCGAGACCGTTCCAGGGGCTGTGGCCCAGGGGACACGTGTGGGTCGGAGCCGCGGGCGGCATCCGTCTGTGAGCGCCCGCGGGAGTACAGCCGGGGGCGTCCGCCTCCTACCCCTTCGCGGGGTCTGTTGCGTTAAAGGAAGTTAATCAGGCGACGGTGATTCAAGCAACAGGGGTGTCAGACTCGGGCAAGGGGGACAACAGGTGACGGGGAAATCAGACCCTAAAGTTCCGCATCGTAGGTCAAGATCTGGGCCACATGATTGGCGTCAGAGGTTAATGACAGGCTCAAGATCTCTGCAAGGTTTGTAAGATTGGACCATGACGTAGGGGTCCGGAATTTGGAAGGGGCTTAGTCATGATTTACACACCAAGAAAGCAAATAAGCAGGAAAGCCCCTTGTGTGTTTGGGGAAATAACTCCTCTCAGGCAAAATGAGGAGTTATTACTAAAGAGTAGAAGGCCAGATGCCTGGAGAGCTTGGCTTGTGATGGTGTGGATTTATACGAGAATTAATTGGTAGATAGTTGCGATCCACTGATGTTTTGTGAGCGTAGCAATGATGCGTCGAAGCTGTATTTTACTTGGACGTCATGTGTCTGGTCCATGAGCAGATGAGAGAAAGACCAGTTAGATAAGATGTTCTTGACTACACCAAGCTGACAGTACTGGAGAAGAATGGATGGGAGAGCTATCTCAGATGGATGGGTCAGAAAATGATGACTAACCAGCAATATAAGTGGAATGACGAGAGGGAGAACACAAGACTGTGTTCCTATCTGAGTGGCCTGTGCCTTAGAAATGTGTTCTAGGGTGGGCCTTCTGGGGATGGTTGAGAGGACTCCCACATTTGAGTCCTGACTCTGTCCTCCTGCCAACTTCTTGCTAATGCCCACCCTATGAGGCAGCAGGTGATGGTTCAAGCACTTGGGTCCCTGCCACCCATGTGGGACACCCAGAATGAATTCAAGGCTCCCATCTTGGGCCTGGCCCAGCCCTGGCTATTGCAAGCATTTGGAGAATGAACCAGCAGATGGGAGATTTCTTGTCTGTCTCTCCAGCGATGAATAATCATCAATAAATTTTAAAATGTAGAAACTACATCTGTTGGTATGCTCATGATTTTGCTGAATCTCCTGTTTCATGGAAGTGGAAGCCTTTCATCACCAAGCGTATTCAACACATTTTTTCAGACCAGGATTATGTTTCTAACGCTCACAGGGTTTGTATGAGTCATCTGGCACAAGTTGGTCACAACTCCTAGAGACAAACTCCTGGGCAAGTCATTAAATCCTCTGATAAAACAGAATCATACCTTAGTCATTGAGGAAAATAAAAGATAATAAAACTGACTCACAAAAATATTTTGCAAATATAACAAAGTGTTGATTGAGAATCCAAGTGGAAGGGAACAGCCTAGCAGTTGCGATGTCCATGTCTCATATCAGAGTGTCTGCATTCCATGCCTGTCTCTGGCTTTTGACTTCCGCTTCCTGCTAATGCAGACCCCAGGAGGCAGTGGTGACAGCTCAAATAATTGGGTTCCTACTACCCATGTGGGAGACCTGAATTGCATTTCCAGCTTCCAACTTTGACCCCTGCCCAGTCTCAGACATTGTGGTCAATTGGATAACGAACCAGCCTGTCAAGTAAATTTAAAAATAATAACATTTTTTAAAAAAGAATCCAGGGGCTGATGCTGTAGCATAGCGGGTAAAGACACTGCCTGCAGTACCAGCATCTCCCGTTTGTGTCCCAGCTGCTCAACTTCCAATCCAGCTCTCTGCTATGGCCTGGGAAGTAGAAGCAGTATAAGATGGCCCAAGTCCTTGGGACCCCGGAAGAAACTCCTGGCTCCTGGCTTCGGATCAGCACAGCTCAGGCTATTGCAGCCAACTGGGAAGTGAATCAGCAGATGGAAGACCTCTCTCTCTGCCTCTCCTCTCTCTCTGTGTAACTCTGACTTACAAATAAATAAATAAATCTTAAAAAAAAAAAAAAAAAAAAGAATCCAAATGATGGATATATGAGTGTTCACTTACAAATCTTTTTTTACAAATCTATTTTATTTTCCATACTCAAATATTTGTGGATATTCACAATATGGGAGAGGGGGCAGCAATATGGGGTAGCTGGTAAAACTGCCACCTGAGATGCCAGCATTCCATATGTTCTGGTTCAGGTCCTGGCTGCTCCACCTCCTATCCAGCTCCCTGTGGAAGGCCTGGAAAAAGTAGCAGAGAATGGTCCAAGTGTTTGGGGCCCTGCGCCCACATGGGAGACCTGGATAAAGCTCCTGGCTCTTGGCTTTGGCCTGGCCCAGTGCTGGCTGTTGCAGATATCTGGGGAGTAAACCAGCAAATGGAAGGGCTCTCTCTTTTCCTCTCTGTGTAACTTTGACTTTTTTTTTTTTTTTTTTTTTTTTTAGATTTACAAAGATTTATGAGTCAAAGACCTTCAGCCAGAGCAGCATTGGAGTGGGGCTTCCAAGAGAGGAAAAATAACAAAGAACCTCACAGCACTGGGGTTTTTAAAGTACAATTTCAAAGGAAAAAAAAAAAAAAAACACTTGACAATCAGATTGGGATTCAGTTACCAGACTGGGACAAAAACCCAACAAGAGACCTGATTTACAATTCTCCATCCTGTCTGGTCTGCTCAGGATAGAACAAAAGACTATGCAGAAGGGTGGTGCAGGTAACTTGTTTTCATAATAAGCTGTGAGAGCAGAAAGAGCTCCTTTGCTGTTCTCCTGGTAAATTTGAAGATTCTGAAGGAAGGAGGGCAGCCTGTTTGTTCTTGTTAAAGATGATATTTTGGGGGAAGGAAGCAAATATTTTATACCCCAAATTCCTTTGGGACTACCCTGACTACCTATTATCCCATCTGACTCCTCACATTCCCCCCTTTACACAAATGTACCCTAACATCTGTTAGGGGGACTGGATGATGATCACTCTGGCTGCTTCATGCTGAAAAGGGGCGTCGTTAGGAAAAGGAGTCAAGACCGGGTTCCAGCAGGAAATGGTGGCTTCTCCCCAGGAGGTGGCTTCTCCAGGGGGCTGCAGTGCCAGCTTTCAGAAACCGCTTCCTTCGGAGGTTTCATGTGCATGGGCCTAGAATTTTACTTTTTTTAAGTCTAAAGAAAACAAACCTAACAGTTTAAACTCATAGAATCTACAATCACAGGATCTAAAACCGAGGACAGCGTCATTGTTAGAGGCCCTAAGAAAGGTGTCTAAATCATGAGCAAATTTTTTTCATTGAGAGGCAAATAGAAACTGCCAGAAAGGGCTTGAAGATAATCAGTTGGGCTTTAAGGCCTTGCCAGTTATGAGGCTCAGACCTATCTATCTGTTCACATAGGGCACATCATAAGGGAGGATTGACTTCCATAACCTAGCTGGCCGGGGAGGAGAGCTGGCTTGAAGAGAAGGTAGGTGGCATTTCTAAAAGGAAAACCATTTTAGTTAACATACAGTTCTGCCTGCAATGTTGTTGACCCTACTTGGCCATCCCCTCAACACCATTGGTTACTTTGGAAGCTGGGCCAAGTGAAGGGCTTTTCAGCTTAGAGTGAACAACAAGGCCTGTGGCTCTGACTGGGAAACCTTCAACTCCATGTCAAAATGATGACTACCTTATCTATAACTGGTTTTTTGTTTTTTTTTTTTTTTTTTTTTTTTTTTGACAGGCAGAGTGGACAGTGAGAGAGAGAGACAGAGAGAAAGGTCTTCCTTTGCCGTTGGTTCACCCTCCAATGGCCGCCGCGGCCGGCACATCGCACTGATCCAAAGCCAGGAGCCAGGTGCTTCTCCTGGTCTCCCATGGGGTGCAGGGCCCAAGCACTTGGGCCATCCTCCACTGCCTTCCCGGGCCACAGCAGAGAGCTGGCCTGGAAGAGGGGCAACCTGGACAGAATCCGGCGCCCTGACCGGGACTAGAACCCGGAGTGCCGGCGCCGCAAGGCAGAGGATTAGCCTAGGGAGCCGAGGTACCGGCCCCTTATCTATAACATTTTAAGTCATTAGTAAAACTCTTTCTTTTTGGTTGAAAAAGGGAGGTTTTGCCTGTTTACTGTGCCCATGACAAAGTAATCTACTGTGGAATCATAATTTAAGCTCTCATTTTAGCTATGCTACTAATACAGAAAAATGTTAGCCGTCCCTTTTATAGGTCTAAAAATCAAATTGTACATCCTAGAGAGTCCGTCAGAATAGAATTAGTTTCCTGTCTTGAAGAAAATGGAGAAATGAGGGAACAAGTCAGGCTTCCCAGATGGCTTACTGATAATATCAAATGAAGACTGTTCATTAATGACTTATGAAATCAGTTACAAAAAAGTCCAATGCCTTCTATAAATTCCAATAGTACATGTATTTGGAAACATCACTTAAATATCTAACACAAGTATAACTTGTTTGACCAGCAAACCCAAGTACAAACATGTCAACAAATTTAAAACATCTGGTACAGATTTAGGTCACACGGACCAAAAAGGTATCTTTGATTAACTTAGCAGTTTGACGTTGAGCAATATTTATATATGACAATTAAAATAGAGCTATTAATAAATTTCCCATAAAGACATACAATGTGTGTACATGTGTAACATAACATACATGACAGAACAATAAAGCAGCTTCAGTAATAGTTTCCTAAAATTTTTAGCTGTTTTTTTAAATTGCCATCAACCAATTCAAATTACTTTCTGTTCTTAGTAATCTGAATTAACCATACTTTTTCTAAGTTGGAACCTGTAGTACATTATTGGCTTTATCTGCTTACAGAACTGTCCCAGATTATTAAAATCAATTCAGGCCAAGGAAAAGGGGGTCCTTTAGGAATATAAGAGAGCAGATATTTTTTAAAGATGTATTTATTTATTTATAAGTCAGAGTTACACAGAGAGGAGAGGCAGAGAGAGGTTTTCCATCCACTGGTTCACTCCCCAATTGGCCTCAACGACCAGAACTGCGCCGATCCGAAGCCAGGGGCCAGGAGCTTCTTCTGGGTCTTCCACACAGGTGCAGGTGTACAAGGACTTGGGCCATCTTCTACTGCTTTCCTGGGCCATAGCAGAGAGCTGCACTGGAAGAGGAGTAGCCGGGACCAGAAGCGGTGCCCATATGGAATGCCAGCACTTCAGGCCAGGGCGTTAACCCACTGCGCCACAGTGCCGGCCCCAACCCTTAGCTCTTTACAAAGACTCAGCTGTTTTTAAACAATTAGAACTTAACAGAAACATTGAGAAAACACAATAGATTACTTTGACAGAACACAAAATCTACCTTTGGTCATCCCAAGAATTGTATATAAAAACTTAAATTAGTTAGCACATGGAATTATCTCACAACTGGGAACAATTTTAACAGAGTCAGATATGGGAAGAGAAAATAGCTTACTGGAGC